CCTAGTTGGGAATTATAGATGTATGCCATCACACCAGGATTTTTTTTTTTTGTAGATACTAAGGATACAAACCCAGGTCCTTATACTTGCATGAAAGGAGATTCTCCCCCTGTACCCAAGACCTTTTAAAAAATATAGCTAAAATACATAAATTATGGTATTACTTGACTATTCTAAAAGACTTCCTTTAAGTTCCATATTCTGATAAACCCAACTTACTCTTTTAAAGATTCCCTAATAGTGATGTTGGTGCTCTTCTAAGAAAAGTCCTCAAGAAATTTGAACTATTTGACTATTTGGTTTGAAGTGATAAGAATCTCAAGAGTATGAGGTTAAAGAATTTCTGAATCAAACTGTCACATAGTGTTACTTCTTTTTTGTTCCAATTCCTGTAATTACTCTGAATTCTCCAACAGATCTGCTATGGAAACAGTAATAATCAGCCTTTTTCTTTTTAAATTTTTTGAAAATTTTTATTTTTGTGTACCTAATGTTATCCCATAAGGCTTTGTTGACTCATTTTTTCCATCTTCATTCCTCAGACTGAATAATTTCAGTTGACCTAACTAATTGTTCATTGGTTCTTTTTCCCCTCCTACTTAAATCTGTTGTTGAGTTTCTCAGAGGGATTTTTCATTTTAGTTTTAATTTTTAACTCAAAAATTCCTGCTCAATTCCTATTTATAATCACTGGATAAATCATTCTTTAACTATGATCCATTCACCAGAGACGAGAGCTATAAGCCAGCATCCTGTGAAAGCTGCCTCAGAATTACCTGTGCCCTGTCTGGTATGTCCTCTAGCCTTTACAAACCTTCAGAGAGAGACAGAGCAACAGACAAAGAGACACAGAGACAGAAACAGAGAGAGAGAGAGAGAGAGAGAGAGAGAGAGAGAGAGAAACAGACACAGAGAGACAGAACCAAGACAAAGACAGAGTGTGAGAGAGTGTTAGGAAGAAGGGGACACCTTTGTTTGACTCAGCTCCCTTTTATTTCAGAACTGGATTCTTTAAGTTAACTGACTATGGCCTCCAGGAGATTTCATCCTGCCGTCAGAAAGGCTTTCATCCTCATGGCAGAGACCCACCTCTGTTCTGTGTATGTATCTATGTAGAAAAAAATCAAGACCATGTTTCTAGCAAAGGCTGTCAAAGCTGATGAGGCACATGGTCCTTTCTGACCTACCCAGAAGTCCAACCTTGTCTCTCATCTTTGCAGAACTCCGTGATCAACATGTATCTGTCACCCAGTGTGTCTTTGAGGCTGTTTACCTGGTCTTTTACTTGTTATGTGGGATAATAATAATACTTTATAGGGTGCTGAGAGGATTAATGAGGTAGGGACTGGGGTGGAGTTCAGTGGCAGAACCTGTGCTTAGCATGCATGAGGCCCTGGGTTCAATCCCCAGCACTACAGGAAAAAAAAAGAAATATATACAGAAAGTACTTAATACATTAGCTGGATTGTTAAATGTTAGTTTGTTCTTTATCAGTATCAGAAGCTAAGTGAGAGATTTGAATGTAAAAGAAAAACAAATATAAGTTGGATAAATTAAGCATATTTTATTCTGTAATTTTGTAAAGAAAATAGGAATTTTTTTTTTTTTTGGTCCTTTTGAGACAGGGTCTCCCTATAGCCCCAGCTGTCCTGTAACTCACTATGTAGACCAGGCTGGCCTTGAACTCACAGAGATTTGCATGCCTCTGCCTCCAGAGTGCTGGGATTAAAGGTATGCGCCACCACGTCTGGAAGAAAATAGGATTTCATGACCTCCCTAGGAAGTTGTATTTTCCTCTAGGATGTGTTCTATGATAAGCTTAGTTGCCAAGATCAGAGTGCTCCAACTCACCCTCAGAACTAATGGGATTCTGCAGCTCTACTCCAGACTAGCCTGGACATTTCCTTTTTTCTTTGAGTTCAGAGAACAGTGAACAATGTAGACAATCGACTCAGAACCCTGTAAAACATAGAAGAGCAGCTCAGGATGGAGTGGGAGAAATGGGACTTTCTAGTTAGCTTATAACCACTGTGTAACTTCAGTTCCAAAGAATCTAACATCCTCTTCTGGCCTCTGGGGCTCCTGTATGCACAGGGTACACATAAACTCACAAAGGTACACAATACATACACATAAGTAAAAATAATTCTTTTTTAAGATTTTATTTTAATTATGGGGGTATATGTACATGAGTGTAGTGCCCTTGGAGGTTAAAGCTGGAGTTACAGACACTTGTAAGCCGCCAGGTATGGATGCTGGGAACTGAACTTGGGCCCTCTGCAAGATCAGTACATGATCTTATTTACTGAGCCATCTTTCTAGTCCCTAAATATTTTTTTAAAGATCTGGAGATGTGTAGAACAGAGACCCAAGGAAAGATAGGATCTGAGAGCTGTTTTCAAATGGATAGAACAGTAATTGTGTGTGTGTGTGTGTGTGTGTCTGTATAACATGGAGGTACTGGTGTGCTTCATACTGCACCCAGCACTAAAATTAAGACCGTGTAGAATACCAGCTTTTGAAAAAAAGAATATATTTTTGATGTATTGTTTTTTGTTTAATTATTCATTGAAATTAATTTTGTGGTCTTGTGGATCAAACCTAGATCATAGTTTTTAGCACTTTCTCACAGATCTGTTAAAGATTCATTAGTCTGTCTTGGAATATAATGTCTAGGTACTAGGTTGTTAAAATGAGACTGCACCATTTAAAAAAAAAAAAAAGGCTAGTACACCAATACCCAGATTTCCAGTTATAAAGACCGTTCCTGAAGCTGGGCATGGTGCAACACACCTGTAAAGTTAGCACTCAGGAGACTGGGGGTGGAGGGATTCTCCAGCTTCAGGCCATCCTGAGTTACATAAGCAGATCCTGTCTCTAATAAATCAGTAAGACTTCGCATACCAGAAGTGAGTACTCCCTGAGAGGATGGTAGGTGACCTTTATTATCTGATTGACATAATAACTCTGGAAACTGAAATGAACCTATTGATTCTTCTTAATAAAAGAATATTTAACAAGTGACTCTGAAAAAATGTATGCATTTGAAAATTAGCAAAGATACACAGAAAGATGACACTGCTTTCTCCTCTGGGTTGAGCTGGGTGGGCGTGGAGATTCTCAGACCAGTTACCGTATCTGCCATTTCTATCACAATTTGGCCTCCAGACTAGGATCCACTGGTCTAGAGTGAATATTTTAAATAAGGGATTCAGGGATGGGGGTGGAGCACAGTTGGTAGAGAGCTTGCTCGTAAGCACCAGGCCCTGCTTTCAATCCCTAGCACCACATATACTGAGCATGATAGTGCACGCTATGTTCCTAGCACTTGTGGGGTAGAAGCAGAAGGATTAGGTATTCAAGGCCATTCTTGGCTACCTAGGGAGTTCAAAGAAAGCCTGGGTTACATAAGACTCAGGTTACATAAGACTTATTTACATAAGTAAATAAATAGTTTTTAAAACTTACTTTACAGGTTTTTCATGACTTCATCATTCTTCCCGTTTCTCTATTGCAGGACTGCAGCCATGTAACTGTCAAGGACAGAATTGTGACCATTACAGACCTTCGATAGATCTTACTCCTGGTCCAGTGAGATGGCTCATTGGGAAAAGGCACTTGCCACCAAACCTGACAACTCAAATCTGATCCCTAAGATCTAGGACCTGTAACGGTGGAAGGAGAGAACCAGCTCCTTCAAGTTGTCCTCTGACTGCTGCTTGTGTGCTGTGATATGTGCACACACAACACACACACACACACACAAAATGTAATTTTTAAAAAAGAATTTCACCCCTCTCCTGAGCTACACACCGTAATCAGTTTACTATTCTCCATGAATTTAGGCTTTTTAAGACAAAACAAGAAAGGGTCAATACAAGGGGGGATGTTGTCTTTTTGTTTTGTTTTTTGAAATTTCTGATATGAAAATAAATCACTGTATTTTTTAAGACAAATCTGAAAAAGAGTATATCATACAAGGCAACTAACTCAAAAATTAGGATACGAGAGAGGACACCTCTCTACCCTGTCTAGATTGAGCTGCTGACTTTTTACCCTCCTTGTAATTTATCTACCAGCTTATTCATATCCACCCTTGGACTAAGTAAGACACCTATGCAAAACTGAAAGCCCTTTTGAAACAACTGAATTTTTCTTGTTTGTGTGTGGGGCACTATTAGTGGAGCTTATTGCGAGGAGGGAGTATTCGAGGAACTTGAAACCCTTGTCAATTCTTTTTGTTAAAACATTATTTAATAAGTTAGGATGTTATTTTCCTCTGTAATAAAACAATTAACTTCCATTGCTATGCTCTAGAGTGACTGTTTGATCAGGAGTCACATAAACATGTCAAATGAAAGATCTGGTCGAAGAATGATGGGATTGGAGGGACAGTGACACCAAATTTCACTGTTTGCTTTTAATTAGTCAGTGTATTTTCTCTGTCTGCTATCTCTTCCATGGGTACAAAGTCATCTCTTGTTTTGCTGCCTTCTCAAGTGTCTCATCCTATTCACTTTCTTCTTAAGCCCTGAAGTCTTCAGCCAGGAGGTGGGAGCCTTTTGGCATCCCAGGTTACATTGTACATCACTAGTTCAGTTGCTGAAGCACCACCCTGCTAAGTTCACTGTGCCCTCTCTCAGATAACACCTAGGAAGGTATGTGAAGCTTTAGCTGATAGTTCACTTTTTTTTATGAAGTGAGCTAGTGTTGTAAGGTAGCCTAGTAATACTAGTGGCAAGCCAGGTATGGTGGCACATGCCTTTAATCCCAACACTTGGGAGGCAGAGGCAGGAGGATCTCTGAGTTCAAGGCCAGCCTGGTCTACAGAACGAGTTCCAGGCCAGCTGGGGCAACAGGGAGACCCTGTCTCAAAAAAAAAAAAGAAAAAAAAATAGCGGTGGCATTTGTGACACCAACATGACAGCATGACAGCAGAGCAATAAATTCCTTGGATAAGGGAACTATTTCTCTTCTTTTTAAAACACCCAGGCTGGCCCCAAAGTTACTATATAGCCAAAGACCTAGGACTCCTTTCTGATCTCCTGCCTCCAACTCCCAAGTGAGTGCTGGGATTACAGACCTGTACTACCACACCTGGCTCAGGAGAAGTACTTCTTTCTTATCAGAGGTCACTGGAGGGTGGCGGGGGGTTGGCTCTAGAGGTATGAAGCTTTGCTTTATTGAAGTTTCATGTCCTTGAAGTGTTCAGTCTTTGCATCTTGGATGAGCGATTATTTTTTTTTACTTTAATTTTTATTTTATGTGTATGTGTGTATTACCTGCAGGTAGGTAAGTACACCCATGTCATGCAGTGCCAGCAGAGGTCAGAAGAGGCTGTCGGATCCCCTGGGACTGGAGTTAGGGACAGTTGTTAGCTGCCATGTGGGTGCTGGGATATGAACCCAGATCTTCTGCAAGAACAACCAGTGTTCTTAACCCCTGAGCCATCTCTCCAATTCTTTCATTTTTTTAAATATTTTTATTTTATCTGTATGAGTGTGTTGCCTACATGTATGTAAGTGCACCTGTGTTATACAAAGCCCGTGGAGGTCAGAAGAGGGCATTGGATCTGCTGGAACTGGAGTTAGAACGGTTGTTAGCCACCATACAGGTGCTGGGATCCAAACCCCAGTCCTCTGCAAGAGCAGCCAGTGCTCTTAACCACTGAGCCAGCCCCTTGATGATTCTTGAACCTTTTCCCTGAAAGGCTCCATGCTCTGTATTCTCTTTCTTCAAGATTTATTTTTTACTTTATGAGTGTTTTGCCTACATGTACATATGTGCACCACATGCATACCTTGTGCCTGAGGAGGCCAGAAGCGGGTGTTACATCCCCTGGGACTTGACTTACAGGTGGTTGTGAGCCACTTAATGGGTGCTAGGAAACAGAACCTGGGTCCTCTGCAAGAGCAGCCAGTGCTCTTGACTCCTGAGCATCTCTCCAGTCCCTCTCTTAGGTTCTTAACTCTCAAGATATTGGAAATTCTTTCTTCTGCAGTTTTTTTGGTGTTCAAGTGGGCTGGGGCAAAAGGGGCCCATGCCCTTCCCTCCTGTAGCAGAGGCAGCTTGGCTATTCCTTTTTATGCTAGGCACTCCTGAAAATGGCAGGAAACCTGTCCTCTTCCCCCAGTCTCTGGCTAATAGTTTAGAACTACCTCAGCTTTCATAAGAGCACTGCAATAGCCTTTTTTCTGGTCTTTATTTTGTTTTCTTATTCTAGACTGGTCTTCACATGACGGTCACCTCATAGTTTCTGTCTTGCTCAGAAACCTGTGATGGCTTTCTGCTGCCTAAGTTACAATTAGCTTTTATTCAGAAACATCCATCTACCCCACATACATTTCTTTTTGCTTGGGTTGCTTTGTTTTTTGAGGTCTTACTCTACAACCCAAGCTGACCTGGAACTCACTGTATAACCAAGGATGACTTCAAACACACTGTGATCCTCCGAGTGTTGGGATTACAGGTGTTTGGCAGTTTCCCCATGCGTTTCTTTCTCCTGACTACATGCAAATACCTGGAGGAGCTTTTAAAGAGATCCAGATGCTCAGGCCCCGCCCAACACTAATTAAACTGAGTCTCTCAGATGGGAATCAGACATTGTTTCTGTTGCTTTTCTTTGCTACCGAAGCTGGGATCCTCAAGTGCAGTCAGAGCTGGGAAGCACTGCACTCCTCATTCCTGCCTCAGAATGATGAGCTCACCAATCTACACACGGCACCTCTTAGCATGTGAATCTTACATGGTAGCCATATTGACCACCAGCTGATCAGCACACCGCTGTTTTCTTGCCTCTGCCCCATCCATAGGATATATCAAAGGTCTGATGTGTGCAGGAAGTTAGTCCACAGGTGCCCTCTTTGTACCTGCTTCTTTTACCCCCAGAGGCTCTCTGTACAGCACAGTTTCCAGGTCTCCCATTTCACCTTCCTCTATTTCCCTCTCTCCAGCTGTTGGTGGTCTAGGCTGAAGGGAAGCAGACACAATGTCTGCTCACATGGTATCTGGCCTTAGAAAGCACAGACCTTCCCACATGCTGCAGGTCAGAACAGAGGCTGCAGAGAAGCTGCTCTGCTGGAAACAGGGCTGGGCTGAACTTCCCAGGCATCATTTGCAGAAATACCTAGTTAAATGCAACCAACAAAGGAGAAAAATATCCTTCTGCCTTCCAGGATTCTCCAGGGCACCAAACACCTTAAAAGGTATTAGGGTTTCAGCTCCCCCCCCCTCCCCAACAGAGACCCATGGACTTTGGATTTTCAAGCTTGAAAAAGGGAACTGAGCTGATAAGCACCTTGGCCTTTGAAGTCAAGGGAAGCAGACTCTTCTAAGAGGCAGCCTGCCTTTCCTCTGATCTCCAAAGACAAGATAAGCAAATTCTGCCAGTTAACCAGAGATTTTAGGAGCTGTTTAGCATAGCAGCTTTTCCCTTAAGAGGACAAAAAAGTAAACACTTCCTGACCCAGATCCTGGCTGGCAGACGGATAGGAGACAGGTTTACAAGCCCTGCTTTTCCTGCTTCACCCCCACCCCCGCTTGATTTTTCCCCAAAACTCGCCCCCCTTCTGTACCCTGAAGCCCCCATATATAAGCCCCAGCTCACAACCCCGTGGGCTGACATTTTCCCTTCCCCAAGGGGAATGTGTCCAGTGCAAAATAAAGCTCTATCCCGCTGAGAGTTTTATCTGTGTCTAGGTGCCTCATCCTCCATTCGCTCGTTCTCCCGCAAATTTTTACCTATCAAAAGGCAGTGTGAGAGAAACATTCTTTAGTGGGGTCAATATCAAGGGGGCTGTTTCATGCTTGAGAGAGAAGGGATCCAGCTTTCCTTTTGGAAAAAGAATTTAATATTGGGGGCTGGAGAGTTGGCTCAGGGGTTAAGAGCATTGACTGCTCTTGCAGAGGCCCCAGGTTTGATTCCCAGCACCCACATGGCAGCTACAAGCCATCCTTAACTCCAATTCCAGGGGAATCCGAAACCCTCTACCGACCGCGGCATTGCACGACATAGGTGCACTCACATACACACAGGCAATACACTCGTACACATAAAATAAAAATAACAAAAAATTTTTTAAATCTGTACATTTTTTAAAAAAGAATTTAATATTGGAATCACCTTCCCACTGTGACTCTTAATGGTTTCTTGGTTTCAGTTTCTTTGGTAGAAGAAGAGGTTTTCAGGGGGTTTGGGGAGGGGATTGGAAACCTCTGAGGACATAACTTTAAAGCATCAAAGTCCAGTGGATTTCGCAACTCTGGTCTGTTTCCAGTGGATTTTGAGAACGCAGTTTTAAGGACCAGACCACAGATGGCTCCTTTGGATGTAGTGTAAATGAACTACTGACATATCTCCCCCCACCTCAGTGTTTTTTTCCCCACTCGGGTGTAGAGGGAAGCTTGTCTAAGGCTCTGTGAAGCAGGTGAGCCCATAGCAGAGTCAAGGCTCACTTCTTCCTGTAAGGTCAGCTACATTCCCCTTCATCTCAAGCAGGCGCTATAATAACAAAGTGAGAGGTTCCAACCAGAGTGAGGTGGGCCACAGGAAAAAAAAGTGGTCATCTCATTAAAAATTTTTATCACAGTGTACACTTATATGTGTATATGAGTATGGGTGTGTGTCACAGGGTGGGTATAGAGGTCAGAGGACACCTTGTAGGAGTTGGGACTGATATTACAGGTCCACTTTCTTGATCACTAGCTGGGCTTCATCTCTAAATCTCCTGTCTTCCCTGATGTTCTAAGCTGGAAACCGAGGGTTTCTAGAAGCACAAGAATGGTTCTAAACTTCTACACATTTTCCTTAAGGCCCAGAGCAGAACCTGGATCCAAAGAAATGACTTCAGGCTGGCAAGATAGCTCAGCAGGTAAAGGCACTTGTCATGAAACTTGACAACCTGGGGTAGATCCCTGGGCCCTACATGGTGGAGGGAGAGAACCCACTTCCCCAAACTGTCCTCTGACCTACACACACACACTTGCAAAATAAAATATTTTTTTTAAGTTGTTAAAAATCCTTTGAATTGAGGCTCAGCAGTTAGAAGCACTTGCTGCTCTTCCAGAAGACCTGAATTTGGTTCCCAAGCACCCACATCTGGTGGCTGACAACTGACTGTAACTTCAGCTTCAGAAGATTTGATGCTTCCTTCTGGCTTCTGAAGGCACCCACACACATTCATTCTCTCTGTCTCTCTCTCTCTCTCCCCCTCTCTCTCTTCCTCTCCTCCCTCTCCCTCTCCTTCTTCGAATAAAGCCACCAAAATTTGATCATGGGACGCTACTGTCATGACCTTACATAGA